ACTTCTGCATAGACAATTTTTGAATGAGAATCGACCCATTGGTCGAATCCGACCTCATCAAGGTTAAAAATAAGCTCAAAACGGCACCCGTCAATTTTCTTTTTCAATTCAGTGTAATATTGCAAAATTGACTCGGGTGTAACTTTTGCCCGTTTTGCTTCCATAACTGGTGCAACATCTGGAATATGGGTAATGATTTTGTGCAATTGCTTGGATCAATATTTTTGTCGAAATTTTCGTGAATAAAAAACTTGCTTCTTCACGTGTTGCTTTTTTGTCTTACTATCTTTTATTGCGTTTTGTATCGCAATAATTTCTTCATCATTTAGTAGTCTTTTGCGTGCTTTTTCGGGTTTTTTACCAGTTTTATTTTAGTTATTTATTTTGTCGATTTGACAACGAACACTTTTTTTCGAAAGTCCCGAAAAAATAGTCAAGTGCAATGGGAAAAGACATTTTTTTTCTTTTAATATTTTTGAAACATTTTCTGGCAATTCCTTTAAACAATAACGTACTTGTTGACGGAAAGAATCAAATGCCATGGATTTAACTTTGATCTCAAGATCTTTAAAAAAATAATCATATCTGGGATTTCTTTTAAATAATCAATCACATTAATATACTGTGGTATTAAAGGTTTTTTCATTGTGTTCACTAAACTTTGCAATTTTTCATCTTGTGTTTTATACACATGTTTAACTTTCGGAGGTTTTGATATCATTGGGCTATGAGACATTGATAAAAAATAAAGATTGTTATAAACACTCAATTATTAAACGTGTATTTTTGATTTTATTTGAAACTTTAGAATATATTTCAACAAAAATGGTTGTGTTAATTATTGATTGTTGTTTTTAACAATTAAATTGATTTTGTTAATTATTATGTGATTGTTTAAATAATTTTGGTGTTATTCTGATTATTTTGCTTCGATGGATTTTTTTTTTATTTTGCGATGAAATTTTATCGCATTGTTGTTTAGTTTTTTTACAAAGTTTATGTTTTTTTTATAAAAATAAAATATTAAAAATTATGATAATAAATAACTTTAATTTTAAATTTTATTTTTGAATGATTTATTTTAATATTTAAATAACTAATTATTTCTTTAAATAATTTTGCCCAAAATGGTCAAAAACATTTATTTGGAATGATTTAATAATATTTTTATTATAAATTATTAAATATTTATTCTATATAGTATTATGAATAGTTTTTGAAATAAATTATTATTATATCATAATAGAATCACATTAATATATTTTTGTTTGTTTTTATAAACCATGTTATATTATTAATAGCTATTGTTTAAATTATACAAACTAAATTATTAAAATATTAAATCATGATAGTTTATCAATGATTTAATTTATATAACACATAACGAACACTTCATTTTGTAATTCTTTGACTTCGTGTTAAGTTAGTGCCTTAGCGACTGCAAGGTTTACTGATAAGAGTTTGCACATATTAAGTTATCAAATTTTTATTTTTTTTCGAGACATTTTTTATTATTTAATAGTATTTTTATTAACTACAATAGTTATTTGTTTTTTGATTATCAACAATTGGTCTAAAAACCCAAAATATTGCGTGATATATATGATAATAAAAACACTTAAAATCTATATTAATACACAAAATACTCTTATAATAAATAATCTTTTATTTTTATAATAATGATATTTCAAAGACTTGCCCAAGCGCTCTTCAGTTGTGTTTGCATTGACTCTTTGTGCATTGAATTACGTATTAAGTATCAATTAAGTCATTTTTTCGACACTTAACTAGAATTTTTTAATAAAATGCACTTTTGGGCAAGTCTTTATTACAGCGGAAAAAACCGATGTTTTACCATTTTATATAAAGTTTTGCTTAAAATTGGATATTATTTGCGTTTTGCCGAGTTGAAATTTAAAAAATTCAACAACATTTCTTAAAACCGATGTTGACCTTTTTATTACCAAACTCAAATCAATCAACACTAAATTCTGACAAAATAATAAAATGTTATTAAAAAACAAAAATAATTGAGTTTTTCACGGCATACAATAGTATTTACTACTAAATAAAAACACGATTTTATGTTTATACACAGATTGGTGCTCATT